GGTTCAAAGTATTGGATAATGAAGGTAGATCAACCTCATACCCCCATTACCCTGGGGATGCTAATGTCACCCACTACACTATACATCCCCTTTACCTACCGTAACTGGGGGTGTGAACATCACCCGCTACCACTACTTCCATCCTGCAGGCCAAGAGACTCAGACAACAACTGAACCCTGGAATATCTCTCTAAAATAGGGAACAAATTTCTTTGGTTTTAGAATGTTTTCTTTAAGTCCAAACTTTAAGGGGGTTTGAGTATTTGGCAGACTGCAAAGGGAGAGGACAAAACAAGTCAGGGAAGTGCTTTGGGGAGAATAACATAAAGCGACTGGATGGATTTAAAGTCTTTAAGTGAAGCCTGTGCCAGCCTGAGCTGGTGCAGTTTGCTCAGAGACGCTGGAGGTAGAAAGTGCTCTCTGCTTCCTTCTCCTTCCTTCAGCTGATAGCCTGACAACCATGGAGAGGCCTGTGGGGCCTTCTCCAGCAACCCTACGTGTGAAGAGTATGGAGGAATACAGCCTTGCCAGCCTCAGCAAGCTCGGTGGTCCTGGCCCAGTGTGGTCCTGGTGACAGGCCTCCTGAGGCTAGGGCAAGGCTGAGATGGTAAAGGGAAGGAATGAGAAGGTACGTGCTTTGGATCCAGAAGTGCAGCTGATCAGCTGCCCTCGAAGGGTCCACTGGCAAGTTCCCGATCTAGAGTGCAGGGGTTAAAGTCATGGAGGCTGCCCCGTCTTCAGACACCAAGCAATAGACTCACGGGGGCAACTGCACCCTTCTGGTCTCTAGAAGTGACATCAGAGGGGTTTTGCCTGGACCCCAAAGTCATTTGTTCTATTCCAGGGCTCTGGTTTATGTGCATTCAGGACACTGGAAGCCAGGGACCAGACAGAGCCAGAGGGTGCTACATAGGCTCTATGTATGGGTCCAGAATTGGGGGGATTTCATGTGACCTAGAGGCACATTGACGAGGCCGCCGCCCTGTGAGAGGAAAGAAGGAGAGCTAATTAACCAAATGCTTCTAATATTTTTTTAAATGAAACTATAAAACCCTGTCAATTTCTATTTCAATTTACTCACAGGGGCTATTAAACTAGCAGATCGCTGTCTGGGTTCCGGGTATGCTACATTGCACCCATTGGGGAGGGGGGCAGTGTTTAAAAACTCAAGGGGAAATGGCTACAGAAAAAGAGAGTGAGGGGACACCTAGTTGTGGATTTGTTTAGTTGCCCGAGTAGGCATCTTGTTCTTCACAGCTTGGCTCTCAAACCTCCCATCACCTCTACCACCCATGAGTGTCAACATATAAAGCTTTTAAGTGAACCTTACACACACACACACACACACACACACACACACACACACACACACACTACACTACACTACACTACACTCAAACACACCCTTGTGTCTCAAAGCAACCCCTGGTATCACTTTTAACTAAAGAAGTCTAGTAATTATGAGTCTGAGTTGTTTTTCTGCGCTTCCGCATGCAGTCCTAATTAAATCTTTACGATCCTCCCTGTGACGATTAAGCGCCAGCATGCTGCGTGAATATCCTGTACAAAAACCCAGCAGGCGGCCGTAATTAGATAGAAAATCAGACAAGAGCCTTCTCATTAACTACCACAACTACCCCACGTCGCTGATGAGGCGTAGATACATATTTGCGCACCAACATGAGTGTGAGGTGTGGGGGGCTCATGGGTCCAGGACCGTATGTGATGGGTTTTGCTCCCACAAACACAGGCAAATATTTCTGTCCTGACTGGACCCTTAGCCATTGCCAAAGGACACACGAGTTTAGAAAAGGGTGAAGTGACTGTGACCATGCCTGTGTGTGTCACAGGGTCCCCTGAAAACTTATGGACAAGTTTCATGAAATATTTTTTAAGACACTTCTTCACTATTAAGATGTGTATGGTGGTCTACTACAGAGAAAACTATTCAAATGGAGAAACACCCCACCCTCAGCTTTCTAAGAGCAGGAGAGTGTCTAGTAAAAATGGAAAGAAACGAATGAGCATACTTCCTGATGGTTAGAAAATCTCACTTCTCAAGCCATACTTGCTTGTTTATGATAGTTTTTTTTTTTCCCCTTGTGATGGACATACACCCTGTTCAAGGATTCATCCTGAATGGGTAGGAAGTGCTAGGGAAACACATCAATCCCCAAACGTTCTTTGTACACTTCTTTATAGAGTGGGTGACAAATTGGTCTAGACTTAAGTTCCAAGGGATCAAGGGAAGCAGTTGTAGGATTCAAAAAGAAAGTGGGTATTTTCTTTGGGAGTGGGACAGGGGCAAGGGAATCTGCTTTTTGACACCCTGCAATGCACAGCTAGAAGGCCAGTTCCCATGCATGCGTCCTGACAGCTAGGAACTCCTCCAACAACCATTCTCTTAGAAGTGCTGCCAGTTCTGAGTTGAAACTTCCCCCCTCTCTGGGATGAAACTGAAGGTGAATATTCCTTGTGATTACTAAGGTGCTGACTGGGAGTATCTAGTCCTTTGTCTGTGTGTGCACCATTATCTGTGTGCCTGTATCTGTAGTTAACTGCCTTCCTAACAGGTGTGTACCTCACTGGGCAGCAGCAGCAGCATGGCGGGAAGGGGTGTATGGACACTGCACGGGTTCCTGCAGGGACTGTCATCTTACAGCAAGAAGCCCATAGCTCACAGGGATGTGTGTGGACTACAGTGGGTGTGAGGTCCTGGAGGCTTCTGTATTGCTGTTTGCATTCCACTTCAAATTGCTCAGACTTTAATTAAAATCCCATAATGTAAACTATTATGTATTTGTAAAAATGGCCCTGGGGTTAAATACACTGGTATAGAAGGAAAAACCAAAATCGCTCTTAACTAATATTGGTGGAAAAATCTTTCAGCTGTTGCCAACTTTTCACAATTCATATGCACAAGAAATATAAAAGTTTATATGCCCGTGTAATATCTGTGTTTCAGATAATAACAAAGCCAATACTGCATCCTAGATGTCTCTCATACGTTCTGTTTTCTTTTTCTTCTATTGGGATAATTTGCCATTTCAGTGAATTTCATTTCTATGTCGATTTGGAGATAATAAGGATAATAATAAAAACCTCCCTTTGTGAATTAATATAAATGGAAATAATAGAAAATCCCGTTTAGAATGACATGATTTATGTATGCAATTCTTTAATATCCAGTCAATTTGAATGGTGATGTTTTTATATTCACAGTCAGTTGAAGATGCCAATAACAGCGGCATGAACCTATTGGACCAGTCAGTCATTAAAAAAGGTATGGACTGTTTCTTCCAAAAGTAAGCAATGATTTCAATGTCCTTATGATTAGCTTTCACTTTGGGGGAATTCATTATTTTATATTACCAAAAAATGTTTGTTGTAAATCAGTTCAATGGCTATCAGACTAAGTAAAAGGGCATGCTGGGAAAAAGGAAATGGGACCAAGGGAATGGAAACTCAGTCAGAAACCAGGATTGGGGAAACAGAGCTACACTGACTGACGATTGCCATTTTTCTCATAATACATAAGGTAGCCATTCCAAATGCATCTTATATGACTGAGCCATTATGATGTGCAGAAACAGTTGGGAACCACTGGTTTCAAAAACGTGCTATTATTACTTTGTTGATAACTGGATTAGATGGTGTTAAAGTCTGTGTCATGGAGATAGCTTTTCCCCCCTTGTTTTTGGTTTGATTTTTTTTTTTGGAGGTGGTAATTGTGGGGTACCAGTTCTCTGTGTCTTATGAGTTGTTTCTTTTTATTATTATTTTTAATTGTGCCAAATGCTTTGCTAAATATGCTCACCCTGAGAGGCTGAGACAGACTACGCACGCATCTAAATCTTCCTGCATATGCGCTCATGATTTACTGTGACTGTGGAATCACCCCATACTGTTAAAGGGCATGTGATATTAACAAATGTTTGCAGTCTCTTGTACAGCTGTAAGCAAAATAATTAACTAATTAAACTAATTAAATGTAATTACAATAACTCATTTCAGGCGTATTGCAGCTGCTTAATTTTTTTTTCTCCTCTTCGCTGACAGTCACTGAGAGAATGTCTGGCGATTAGAGTAGCTGCTTCAAGGCCTGAATGTCACTCACATGCCACAAATTTAAAAGTGGGAATGTGTACACAGTGCAATCTTTAATTATCACATGGATTGGTACTGGAAAACTCAGTTTTAACGACTATAGCCCTTTCTTATTGAGGCTAGAAGAAGATGGTCCTTCTGTTTGGAGTCAACAGTCCCCAGCTTTCAGTCATTTGTGATTCACTTGAGCCACTTAACATTCACAAAAATAATTAAAGAAAAAGATAATTTAGAAAGCAATCCATCCAGCCTCAAATTGGGGCAGTAGTAGGCAGCTTGTGGAGTAAGGATTCCAAAGGGATTAAATGTATGCTGAATTCTCTCCTATTAGAAATCCGGTAGCTTTGTGAGGTAGACAGGGAAAACAGTAGCTGAATGATGCCTTTTGGTTACGGAATGATTTTTTTTAAATGGGTTTAAAAATGTTGCCTAGTATTTCCCCCTCTTTTCTTTAGATAATACTCTCTTCCGCTGGTATACTCAGGGTGTGTGCTCAGGCTGCCAGCCCGCCCTGCTGACTGCTCACTTTCACCGGTTCCTCTTGAGTCTTCTCTTTTGGTTAATTGCTGGTTGATTGGGGTGGGGTGAGGGAGGAGCTTTTCTGTTCCCCATTGTCATTGTTGTTTTAATTCCCCCCTCCCTTTTTGTGAAAAGCCTGAACAGCTTAGCTCAGGGTTTGGTATCCTAGCAACATCAATTGGCTGGCAGAGGGACATGCCCAGCAGATGACCAATCAGAAATGTTATTAACGGTCAGGCCAATAAAAATATTTAGAACTTAGCTTGCCTTGCAAAATGGGGTTCATGATTTTCTTAGAAGTGGGAAGCATTGGTTGCAGTATTTGAATATGTTTGCCAGAGAAACATGAATATTTATGCATGAGGTTGTTTCCAGAGATAAAGGACAGTGTTGACTAAAGTTGCTTGTTGTGTTTTTCTGAGAATGCCACGTTTCCCCCCCCCCAAAGCTTTTAAAAAGCATGCATGACTTAAAACACTAAAATAACACCCTCCTCATGTTAATTGATTTGGGGTGAGTAGTATGAATATGAATGTTAGGTCAGTTCTGTTATTTGATACTTGAAATGTTTGCTTTATTACATGAACAGAGATCCTAATATCACATTTTTATCTTTTAAAAGCCACAGGCAAAAGATGAACAAATGTTTGATTTATTTTTCTAACTCACCAGGAACCACTTAAAATAAAGTTATGGGTTCATTAGCTCCTTCCCAGCCTCTCCTCTCCCATCTTTGCATAGTCTCATCCCCATGAGGGATGCTTCTGTGAGATTAATTCTGTAGAGAGGTGAGAAAGTTTCCTGAACTGAATATTCTAAATTTCAGCAACTAGCAGGGGACTTGGTTGCTTAATTTGTTTTCTAATGGGCATTTAGACAATTTTTAGAAAATTATACTTCATTAGGAAAAGGCCAACAACTAGTCTACATCTACACGTCTCTGCTCCTACGTTTATGAAGTCTAACAACCTGGGCATAAAAGATGTATTTATCCGTCTTTGTGTCTTTCTGTCCAGCTGTGTCATGGCCACTCCTAACATTTAACCCATCTAATTTTTCTTCCCTGTTGACATCACCCCATACATTATAGACTCCTTCTCTTGTTATGTTTGCTATGTGGGCTTAGCTGACATTTCTGAAGTAATTTAGTTAAGAGGAAATGAGTTGTTCCCAGTAGAGAGAGCGAACAAGCGGAGTGAAGGTAGCCAGCGTGATAAATGGCTCTTTCATTTGAAGATCTCCAGAGCTCGTTTACGGCTAATTTTCTGTATTGGCCCCCTTTGAGCTATTAATGCAATCGGCAGGGACCGTGGCCCCTCTCTTCTTAGCTGCCCCATTAGAGCTCCCATTAAGCTGCCTAGTCTCAACTCTATGGCAGGAGTTGGGGAGGGGGGAGTAATGAAAGGTGCTTTTTAAACTCTCCTAATCTAAACCGGCAGAGGGTGGTTAATACGATTTGAAGGGGGCTGGTCAATGAGCAATCAATAAAGTAATAATGAGAAGGATTCGGTACATTAACAGTCTAAAAATCCAACGAGACATTAAAAAATCATTCTTAACTCTCAGTTCCATTAAGATTAGGAATCTGGGTGGGGTGGGGGTGGGGGGAGTGCCCAGCTAACATAAATGATCAGTTGCCATCTTCCTAGAGCCTAACTTAAAAGACTTACCTGGGTTTGAAGAAAGGGGATTTGGAATCAGTGACCAATATGCAGTCTGTTTGACACATTACACAGCAGAAAACATGTCAGAATTTCTTGGAAAGGTTATTGAGGCTGGAGTCCAAGGTTCAAATGCTGTGACTGTGGGGCATTTTTGTTGGTCTTAGGGATATCCTGTTGGGTTAGTTTCAGTTCAACCTCCATTCTCTCCCATGTTTTCTCCGTTAGTTCTGGCCCCTTCCCCACACAAACACTTTGGTGTGGGTTTTCTTGGAGAGGAGGAATATGAAATTGCCAAATCTCAATTCTAGCAGGTCTCTTTGAGAGTCTTCCTTATTGCCTAGAAGGAATATCGCACCAAGAATCTGAGCATGTCAGAGCCCCGTAAAGTCGTGTGTTTCTTCTCAAGAACTTTGCCTTTCCAGAGAGAGAGAGACAGAGATAGAGAGAGACAGAGAGACAGACAGAAACAGAGAGACAGAGAGAGAGAGAGAGAGAGAGAGAGAGAGAGAGAGAGAGAGAGAGAGAGAAAGGAGGAGGGAGGGAGGGAGGAAAAGGGAGGGGAGGGGGCGAAGGAATGAGAGAGAGAGGGAGACAGAAAAAACACTTGGGGAATGAGAGAGAGAGAGAGAGAGAGAGAGAGAGAGAGAGAGAGACAGAGAGAGAGAGAGAGAGAGAGACAGAGAGACAGAGAGAGAGACAGAGAGAGAGAGAGAGACAGAGAGAGACAGAGAGAGAGAGACAGAGAGAGAGACAGAGAGAGAGACAGACAGACAGAGAGACAGACAGAGACAGAGAGACAGAGACAGAGAGACAGAGACAGAGAGACAGAGACAGAGAGACAGAGAGAGACAGAGAGAGACCAGGGATGGTCAGAAGCCATATAATTTCAAAACTGGAAAGGTCAGATAGTCCTTTCCATTGCCCCAAGTGTGGGATTCTGCAAGAGCAGAGTCTGGAGAAGATAAATGACTTTCTCAAGGTCAGATGACACACTAAGAACATGATGAAACCCCATTCAAGTTTCAGGTTCTCAGATTCTGTCATTAAAGAATGCCAACATTGGATATTGGGAGATATATGTATACATTTGTGTGTGTGTATGTGTATGTGTGTATGTGTGTGTGTGTGTTTCTTATCACAATTTCTGTGTACATATGTATGTACACGCTGAACATGTGGAATAAAATTTAGACAAGAAGTAGACCTAAAAGAATGCAAATTTGAGGAACAGCTTCCCTGATGATGAGAAGTGATTTTACTTTTAGGATGGTAAATCTCTTAGTCACTTCCCAATGTAAAGCTCATAGTTGTTGGTTTCTTCCAGGGGGACTCACCCCTTTAATGTGTGAGGCAACTCCATTTCTTCCCCTCTTTCTAATACATGTCTTCTCAAATACAGTTTCTCCAATTTGTAATTTCACCTTGAAGTTGTTTTTAAAAGAGGAATAAAGTCCTAGCCCATTAATCTCTATGTAGTCTACCATTGAACAACATTTTCTCTAATTTTCCTTCCTTTTTTGAAAAACTTCACTCACTGCAAGGAAATACTAATCTATTTATGATTTTTCTTCTTTTCTGGACTAATTCATGGGAAAAGGAAGGAAGTGAGTGGTGTTCTTTTGAGTGTGTGTGCATGTGCATGTTACATCTAGAAGTTGGTTTTACCATCCAACTAAGAACCGAAGAGGGGGGAAAACCCACTTTTTAATATATGCACGGGAAAATTGTAAACATGTAAAGAACCTAAAGCTTCACGCTGAGTCTTGCTATGCTCCATTTCCTTAGCATTTCCGCCTGTCGCTTTAAACCTATCTCAGACATCTCTGGGTTCCGTGAGCAGGAACAGTGTGCTCATAATTACTATCAAGTCAACCGGGCCCTGTTGCTTTCTGGGTTTATTGATAAGCTAGAGGAAAGCAGAAGGGGAAAGATGAAGGGAATAAAATACGGGGTTAATCAGCTGAGCTAAGCAGGTGTGAAGGGGAAGGTGATCAAGGAGCTATCAGGAAGGAAAGTCAGGGAGAGAAATGTGTAAGGTCTGGTCTAGGGAAGTCCATGCTGAGCCAGGGGTAAGAACCTGAGGATAGAATGTAAAAGTATGATTTTGATATAAATGGAAATATAATTGACAACACTTCTGTTCACCTTGTGAGTTCTTTTTTTTTTTTTTTAGGGGGGAGGAGGTGACCTTCCTAAGATGGGAATGTGCCACATGAGCAGATGCATGAATGTGTATATGTATATGCAGAGAGGTACAGTCCCTGGGAAGGCATCATTTTCTTTAAAGGAAACAGCTCCTACCAGCTGAATCAGACAATCAACAATAGGACAGTGAAAGAACAGGGTATAATGTCTTTCTGAAGGCATGGGTTTTCAAAAAACTTGGCATCTGGGAAACAGAAAACCAGGACAACTACTGTGTTAGAGATACTGGTTATTAGGCATAACAGTAACTGTCCGTTTACTGGGCTTGTTTTGCTATTCAATGTTAAAGATAAGAATGCTGCCAGGTATCAAAGGTGAGACCTTTAACATAATTTATTGCTACAGTCTTCTTGCTAAAATTGCAAAGGGCTATCCACTTTTAGGGTAACTCTCTCCCAAACTGATATCATACCACCCCCATCAGTATACACTGTATATAATGACTCGAATATGAATCTGAAATATAGGTATCAGAAATGTTATGAAAATAGGAGATTAAAGTATATGTGGATACTGTGCACAAAAATCAAGTGGCAGGATGGCTCCATCCCAATCATCCACTTACAAAGAGACTTATGAACTCCAAAGGTTACTCATGTCTGATGAAAACCTTTGAAATTCTGCTACTTTACTCTCAAATGGGAAGCAGTCCCTAGAAAAATATGGGGGGTTGTTCAGAAAATCAAAATCCCCCTTGTACCTTGTTCCTACCGTATGACAATGCAGAAGATGCACTCTGTTCCCTAACACAATTCCAACTAGACCAGGTCTTGGGCATCAACAATAGGTCTTGAAATTCCAATATGTTTATCAAGAAGTGGTCAAAGGGAATGCTTTAGTGTCTAAATCTATTCCCTTAAGGAAGCTCCTTTCACAAAGTTTTGGGAAACACCACATTAAATTAATAAACACCTAACTTTGGGAACTCTCTGAACGACCATGGAGTCTGAAGGCTGAAATCTGTGGTGTAAAGAGTAAACTGAAAGAGAAACACTGCATTCTGTTCATCTGTCCTGTAGAAGAGAAGTTAGACATCTCTTCTCCTAAAATTCTGGACCTCATGTGGTAGGGTGCATGTTTCTTTCTCTGCCAGATCCATAGGGTGAGACATGGACGTTATTAGAAAGGTGGAGCAGGTTTCTTTTTTTTTCCTACACTATATATATATATATTTTTTTTCATATATATTTATATATATAAATATATAAATATATATATATATATTTCAGCGAATTTTCCATGGAAGAAATTAACATGAAAGAAATAGGACATCTCAGAAGTCCAAAGGGCACGACTTCCAGGACAGTGTTCACCGGTTCTCAATCCCCAGCCTTCCACCTACCTCAGTCCCTTCCTGACATGCAGATGACACAGAAACACAATTAAACAGAAATACAGGCTGGAGAGGCTGAATGCACCAGGGTAGCAGTGGCAGCCAGCTGTCAGCTCTTATTAGCTTCTGCATAAAACATACCTTGAGTGTGGTTTGTTATCAATTACTTGCTGAAATGGAACAACTGGGCAAGGCAAGACCGCCACCGCTCATATGAATTACAGTGATTGGTTGATTGATCAGGGCACCTGTTGTAAATCATAACTGTTCAGACAATCACGAGCCGGTGCTTTAATTTGTAAACAAAATTCTTGTCACTGCTGAATTGCTCTCACTGGAGATGGAGCATTTGGGTACATTTCCAAATGAATCTCACTGCTGTTTTTATGTCGGGGGGTGGGGTGGGGGTGGGGATAGGTGTCATCATAAGCAAAAAGCAGCACTCCCCCCCCCCCCCCCCGACTCCTCACCTTTAGTGATGGCCACAGGTTTGGGTCCAGTCAGAGGGGAGGAATTTCTATAAAGATCATTGGCATCAACATTTTATTTCAGAGAACGGTAATATTAATCTTCACTCTCAAGTACCTAATAAGACAGTGTTATTCTGGGGAGGCTGGAGGAGGAAACAGATTGGGAATCTGCAAGGGGTCGGAGGTCACACTAGAATCAGGGGACCAAATAGGGTTTGCCTAGATTCACAGCGTGATCCATGATCCAGGGTCTAGGTTGAATGTTTCCCTGATGTGTGTGGTGAGCAGGGCTAAGGCAAGCAACACTCTTATGTCCTCTCACTTGGGGTAAGTTTCCAGAGGAATGGTGACGTTTGGGTCCGTTCACAGCGCTGGGAAGGCAATGCAGCTGGGAACCACCGGAGTAGCTGCCTCCCCCTACAATTTCCACTTGGTGGCTGCCCCGTGGCTTTCCCAGATGCCGGGTCCGATCAACCGTCAGTAGGGTTGAAGCTCGGTCACCTTTATGGCAACATTTTCCCCCTCTCTCCCTCTCTCCCTAGTTCCTGTCCCTCCCAAATCTGTGACTTCTCTAATGATGAATAAAGATGGCTTCTTGGGAGGAATGTCAGTCAACACCGGCGAGGTATTTTGCTCAGTCCCAGGCCGTTTATCTCTACTCAGTTCAACTTCAAAATACAAAGTGACTGTGGGAGAAGTTCAGAGACGGCTCTCGCCCCCTGAATGCCTCAATGCGTCTCTCCTTGGCGGCGTCCTCAGAAGGTAAAATAAAATAAAACAAACAACAATAAAAACTACACACACACACACACACACACACACACACACACAGGATTCTGTTAGTGGAGGAGGGTCCTGCGGAGACTGGGCAGAAAGTCTGGACGCAGTTGCCTAGCAACCTGGAGTCTAACTAAGCGCAGTTCTATGTGATGCCTCAGGAAGGCTGTCGAAGCTACTAGCAAGGTATATAGATCTCAAGAGCTAAGATCTCGAACCCAAGCCCCACCCATCCCAGACTTCATTGCGCATGCGCAGCCCTTCTAGTTACTTCCGCGTTATAAACCTTTCACTTTCTTGCGGGCGCTAGGATCCCAGCTACTACGTGATCTCATATCTGGGGCATTAGCCTCAGTTCAACCCAGAACCTCCCCTCCCCACCACACACGCTCATTTGAAACTGAAAAGGCTGTTTCCATCATGCCTTCTTTCTACTCTCCATTTTACGAGTTTAAAAACCCAGATGGAGAGTAGCTAAGTTGGTCTCATGATCAATGCACGAGTATGCTGTGCTTCCCATTGTGGAAAAAAACCTTTTCTACCTTATTGACCTTTCTTCAATAGTATCACATCTCACAACATCAATAGTACTTTGTAACTATTGATAGTCATTTTCTGGGGCTATATAGTTGATCTCCAACATTGCAACCCACGGACAGACTCCTGGTAAAAGTGGAGAAAGAAATGGCTATTGTCTTTTCTCTGCAACAGTTCTTGACGATATCTGGACCCTTGGCACTGTCCTTGCTAAGTGAGTGACTTTGTATGAGACAAAACTTTCTGGAGTTAACCCATTTTAGATGTTCACTATCCCTTTCTTTCCCTAAAAGTGGCTGGCTGAAAAGTACAGTAAGAGGGCCCATGCATGTGATGAGCGCTTTCCTTTTGTTTTACCCAGCCCTTAGAGGACCTGGGGAGCCTAGAGGGAAACTAAGGGTGTTGGTGCGACCCACAGACGTTCTTAGTGTGAAGCCTCTTCCATTAAGAGGACTGTTTAGTTTTCAAGTGAGCCTTTTGAGCTTCAGAGTCAGGATGTTGTTATTGTTACTATTGTTATTATTGTTACTACTACTGCTATTATTATTGATTTTTGAAACAAGGTTTCTCTGTGTAGCCCTGGCAGTCCTGGAACTCACTTTGTCGACCAGGCTGGCCTGGAACTCAGAGGTCTGCCTGCCTCTGCCTCCCAAGTGCTGGGATTAAATGTGTGCACCAGCCCACTCCATCTTCCAGAGTAGGGGTGTGTTAATTCAATTCCTGAACATGAGTGTATACAATTTATGGACTGAGATAGTGAATACAAAGTGTTTATCATATTAAACATAGCAAATGGTAATACAAAAACACTAGTACTGTTATCATGACAAACATCATTGATTACAAATGTCAGGTCTTCTCTCCCCTTCTAAAACTTCTCCATTATGTAGTTATTGTTTTGGTTTCTCCTTTAGAAACATACTGTTTCTGGAAACTAGCCCTTTTCCTTTTCCCTTCTTTTTTTTTTTTTTTTTTTTTTTTTTGAAGCTTGCCTGGATTCTGCTCTCCTCACTGGCCCCATGGCAAGGAGTGAACCTGTGCATGTACATGAGCATTATTACTTTTTCTGCACCCACTACCCTACATTCTAATTATTCCCATCTGGTATCGTTCTCCCCGCCCATCCCCAAACACACACCCACACACACGATTTTAAAAATAAGACTTACTTTTTATGCTCTGTATTGCAGAAATTAAGCAAACCTCAGCAAACTCTCAGCAAATAACTGAAAGGAAGGGGTGCTGGAGTGCTAACCTCAAGTTAAAACCTCTTCAAGCTCCACTGGGCTCTAGATTGCTAAGTCTAAACTTTGTTTCAGCAACACTCTGAGGTTAATCAGAATGTTAATTCTTGCAATTGCAGAGCCAAATCGAAAAATGGGGGGAGATCCTTGAGAGAAAGGCTAGAAAAAATCGGTTTGAATTTACCCGCGGGCAGGCGCAAAGCAGCAAATGTCACGTTACTCACCTCCCTGGTGGAAGGTAAGCAAGACTTGTGGCCATTTCCCGAAGTAGCTGAGCTTAACTGTCGGCTGGAGGCTGACATTTTACATGCTTCGTGATTAACTGGAAATCATTGTGATGGTTGTTCCCTCATGAGTTGGATGTCAAGGGACTGCAGGAGAGAAGAACAGAGGTCTTTTTACTTAGAGGAAGCTTGCAGTTGCAGGGGAGCCAAAACAAGGTATCTAAATATTTCTAAGCTCCAAACAGGAGTCAGGCCCAATCTCCCAACTCAGAGGAGGGGGTCACTTCCCTGGCCACAGTGGCTGGAGCATCCTCTGCTTGATCTCCTGCGAGATCTTCTGTGCAAGCTGCAGAAGGGTTACTAGGGAAAAGCAGGTGGGGCTGGTGAGGGTAAAAGCACTTGCTTCCAAGCCTGACCACCTGACATCCACCCCCAGGTCCCACAATATGGTAGGAGGGGTCTGTCCTGGTTTTCTTCCCACCTCTACACACTTATCCCCCAATAAATGTAATAAAATTCAAAAGGCATAAGAAAATATCTAGTGTTCATGAGTCTTAACAGTTATTTTTAAAACTCATGACTGTCTCAGAGTTCTGTCTCCTACCTCATAGGACTTAATGAATTATTGATACCTTAGTAAGTCCAGCGATGCTTAAGAGAAAACCGTGGATGAGGGGGGGCTTACGAAAAAGTATGGAGAGGCAAGTTGAATCTTCAAGGCAAATTCATTGGTGATGAATTAAATGGCCATAATTTTACTAAGAAACTTCTAATTTGCTTGTCAGTTTGGGTTTTCAGTTGAAATCCATGGCCTGTAATAATTAAGATTATCTATGTGGTCTAGAAGAAGAGTGTCTGCAGTTGAATGTGTAGGAAGGGGTCAAGAGGAAACACAGCCAGGTGGTACACCTGTAAGATGGTGGAGAATTTTCTCTGGAATCTTCCTGTGTCCTGTTTTTGTTTGTTTCTCTTCCATATTTTAGTAGATGTGATATTATGACTCTTGTAAGGAATTGGTTCTTGAAAGACAACATCTCATGTTGTCTAAATGACGGCCATAAAGATATCAAAGAGTTGCTTGCCCTGCATTTTATCATCTTTAAGGCAAAGTTTTTTGGCTCAAACTCACCTACCTGAGGCCTTAAATCACCACATTTCCAAATCCCACTTGTTAGTGGTTGACTCTTCTTTGCCTGTGGACATTCTGTTCTCCTTTTAGGGAATCATTAATATCACAATCCTCATTTTCAAAACAGTCAAGGGAATCTTACCACGAGACAGAGATTTTTGTAGAGAAGGGAAGAAACTGGAAATCACACCAAAATGGCAATATTTGGTGGGCAGGTTTTTTTACAAGTATTATGAATCCTTGTAAGCACTGTGCTTCAAGTTTTATGTTATTATGATATCATTAAAAGCAAGTCACATTCCCAAGTCAAAATAATGTATCTGTGAGATAATTCAACATCCTTCTTTTTTCCCTGTTTGTGGTCTTTCCTCAGCCCCCCAAGGCTGTGCTTTAAAAGGTAATAATGCTTTATTCAGAAGGATCTTCCTCCTAAGCTCAGGAATGCCTAGTGTGTCCTGGTGTCTGCAGTTACAGATTTGTGCAGTAGAACATCTTTAAGTAGGATGATGACAGAAAGCTCTGAAAGAGAAAAACCTGAAAGCAGGAACAATTATTTTGCTGCCAAATAGAAATACTCTTTTCATATTCATGTTACATGTAGTTATCAATATTCAACAACATTTACACATGTGGATTTGTTTATGCATATTAGTTATAAATATGAGACTGTTTGCCTAATAGAATTATAGGAAGATGGTGCCACTTTTAAATTTTATTTCAAGCAGGTATAACTGGTACTTTAAATAGAAGAGAGGAGTCTGGCTAGCATATCCCACCAAATGTCTAGATTCACTTAGAAGGTGGCTCTTGAATCTATGACCACTTTCTCCTTAAGCCAAAGCGAGTGCTTTGCAGGATGTCCTGCATCCCTTGGAAGGTGTCTGTGTCCCTTGTCTGTCTAGAGCCTGGCTTAGGATAGAGTAAGGTTGAGTAAGGCTTGTCCTGTTCTCTTTAATTATGAAATTCATCTTTCCTTTGGGTATCTGTCTCAGGTTTGAGTCTGGTCCTTATCTGGCCTCAGGTGTCCCTTACCTGGGTGTTGATTCTCTGTTACTCTGCTTACAGGGGAAGCTGTTCACTTAGCTCGGGATTTTGGGTATATTTGCGAAACAGAGTTTCCTGCTAAAGCCGTGTCCGAGTACTTGAACAGACAGCACACGGACCCCAGTGACCTGCATTCCAGAAAGAATATGCTGCTGGCCACCAAGTGAGTTCCCAAAGACCCTGGGCCCTGATCGGGGACTTCCGGCCCTGAACCAACTCCACTTAGCAAACTGTGGAGCTGTGCCGCTTCTCTGGTGTGGGTTCCAAGTCCCTTGTCGAATGCAACAGCAGAGCAGGCCATGAAGCTAGCTGGCTTCTCAAGGCTGTGAGTGTGGTGATGATGTAAACTTGAGGGCTGCTGTCCCAGTCCCCTCCTCGGTTTACAGAGAGAAAGCAGGCTTTTAACAGTTTTTCTCTACAGTTCTGGGGTGTCTGGTAGATTTTTCCCCACATCCCTCCCCAGACCCCCCAGGTGACTATTTCTGTCTGGGCTTTGCAGTGGTCTCCCTTGCCATCAGGAGGACAGTCATGTGTGTTCACTCAGGGTGTCTATATGTCACCCACGTGTGCCCATCTCTACCCACAGCTCTAATTACTCCATTTCCAACGTTGCTGTTTGTCATCTTCCACGGACTTGTAAAATTTACTACAACTCCAGAGGGGAAAACAGTAAATCTCCCGCTAAATTTAGGTCTAGAGCTCATTTGAACATTTACAGTGGGTTTTCTATTTATTTGATTTACTCCTGTCTTTGGCTTCAGGGTCATATTGTTGGTGTTTTATGACCAGCTCAGGCCTGCAGTGGGCGGCACTGCGTGCATCAGCACGTTTCTCTTTCTCGAAGGCGCGGCCTAAACAGCAGCGCTCATTTATTTAGCGTTCCAGGACGCGGTTTGCTCCGCTGACAGCATAATTTAAAGAAATATATGGAAGGCTGAAAAATCATTTGCTCAAATTTGTCCAGATGTTTTTGAGACGTGATTGGAATTTGATTGCCCCTTTCCGCAGGGTCAAAAAATATTAATGTCCCAGAAGTTTAATTGCTTACAGAGCCTGGTTTGGGCTGTGTAGATTTTAAATGCTTGACTCTTAAAACATTTGTTCTCTGCACTACAAAATTTCCTTTTTTGGCACTTTGAAAATGAGTACAAACTTAAGGAAAGACTTTAATCATCTTTCCCAACGATCAAAACCTGGCATCCACCCTCATTTTAGAAGGATTTCCGCTAATGTACCATCTAGCAATATGATAGATTTTTGTTGGTGAGTTACACTCTTACCCTCTTGCTCTGGGATCTGATAGTAAGGACCAGTTGTATTTTGTAAACGAAACAGGGAGCTTCAGGGAAAACAGCAACAACAACAACAAAACAAAACCTAACTTGCCTAAAGCAGGTAAAAAGATCCACAAAGCCCCCTTGTTTCCTAAAAGGGTGGTTTGACACCACCGGGCCCCCAAGGAAGCCTTAGGACTTTTAAGGCCACTGCTTTTTAGCCTAGGGTATCAGAATCACCTTGGGGGCTTTCCCACTATACTTGTATCTGGACCAGATGGAACGGGAGGTGAGTCAGAGCCTGGAGTATGCATGTGAACCTCCCTGAGGCCATTGGGTGAGCATAGTCACTTACTGTGGGGATGTATGGATGTATTATGAATGGAGACCTGAGAGGGTGGGCAGAGTCTCTCCACCAGTGTTCTGTATCCACGGACCTTGGGAATGCCAATCTTTCAGTTGCTGTCAGTGGGTGGAAAAGAGATTCCCTAGTAGGGTTATTACTAGCCCTGGGCCATGCAGCAGCACCCTGGGGAGGGGTGCCCTAAGGGTCTTTCAAACCCAGAAATCTGCCCGGCTTACCTGAGAGTTAGGCCAGGTGTTAGTTGCTATCTCTTCTTTCAGCCATTTCTCACCCATCTTAGTCCAGTATGCTTCTCTTGAAATCCCACAGAACCACAGGGTGGGTGAAGGCAGGTGGTTAGGAGAAGCGTGCCAATCTGAGAAAGGCTGTGGCCTCTGGGATGCCATGCCTCAGCTTGCCAGCAGAGTCAAGCCATTTGACCTTCAGGGCTAACCCCCTCCCGTTAATTTCCTATATTAAAAATTTCTCAAATAAGCTCAATCCATAGTTAGACACACAGGATTCCTAAGGCTAGGAGATTTCTCTAAATTGTAGGTGCCTCGAGGAATTAAAAACCTTCAACAAATAAAATCTGTCCTCCCCAGTGTTTTAACCATCCACCTTTAAGTTTTATTTAAACTACGCAGAAATCTTTTTATATTGACAACAATCCTGTTATACAAAGATTTTTAGTAGTTCACATTTGCAAAAAGGGGGGCATTTTTTTTTTTAAAGAAAGGAAGAAGTATTTCTCTTCCAAAATGCTGCAGGTAAACGGGTTTTGCTTTGAATGGAATCAGCATTCTCTCCTAGAATAAACAGGTTTTTGCCCTGGGCCATTCAAGGCTCTAGCAATCTGCTTCTGTGCCAGGGACAGGCTTGTGGCTGAGGGGTTTAAATCTTTCAGGTTTTGTGTGTGTGTGTGTGTGTGTGTGTGTGTGTGTGTGTGTGTGAGAGAGAGAGAGAGAGAGAGAGAGAGAGAGAGAGAGAGAGAGAGAGAGAGAGAGAGAGAGAGAGAGAGAGAGAGAGGAAAGGCGAGAAGGGGAAATAATTAAAGAAACATGAGTGCCAGGTAACAGCTAAAAATTATTGACTATTCAAAATCAGAAACCAAAATGCCTAGTGAATGTCCTAAAGCAGAATACAGGTGGTCAGGGAAGGAAGAGGGAAAGTGAAAGGCCTGAGGGTGGAGGGGATGCATTCCTCTCGCTAAGTCCCTTCCAGACCCAGCTGCTGGGTGAGGGAGCGCTCGAGGGGAAGACACAGCAGAATCGCCTAAGTTAGCCTCGCTGTCCAGAGACCCAAGGCCTCTGGGTTTGTGTGAGTTTGTCTGGGTTCCAAGGCGAGTGACCAGGACTCTGAGGGCGCTTTTCTCTTCCTCCCTCACCATCCACAGGCAACTTTGTAAAGAATTTACGGATCTGCTGGCGCAGGACCGGACCCCGATCGGCAACAGCCGGCCCAGCCCCATCCTGGAGCCCGGCATCCAAAGCTGCCTCACGCATTTCAGTCTCATCACGCACGGCTTCGGCGCCCCTGCCATTTGCGCTGCGCTCACGGCCCTGCAGAACTATCTCACCGAGGCGCTCAAAGGCATGGACAAGATGTTCTTGAACAACACCACTAACAGGCACACGTCTGGGGAAGGCCCAGGTAGTAAAACTGGCGACAAGGAGGAGAAACACAGGAAATGAAAAAAAAAAAAAAAATTAAAGAGAAGGAAAATGTTTTAAATACAAAAGGAAAACAGAAAAAAAATAATTTTAGCTTTAACATATTGGATTGGCTTTGGAAGAATTATATTAGGTAGAATACACATACAATCAAAATTTAAAAAAAGAAAGCTAAATAACTTAAAAAAAAATAAACTGAGGCATACAACGGAGCAACAAACCGGCTCTCGGTGTCTATTTCAAGATACACATGGAGACAACCATCCGGATTTTCCACTTCGGTTCTTTCGAGCTTAGTAATACAGATAATAAAAGAAAACTATGAAACCCCCTTTTGGAAAATAAACATGAGACGAAACATGAGAACACGCTAATTTATTGGAAGAAAATTGGAGAAACGTTGGTGTCAATGCTTTGAGAGCTGGTTGACTGAGACGCACGAACTTTTAAATTTAATTTTTTTTTTTAAAAGGAAACTCTCGCAGTCCACGCGCTCCATTTCTCCTCACCCTACTCTCCGCTGCTTCCCTTTCTCCCCTCCTCACACGGTTCTGGGAATCTGCCGGGTGATCCCCAGTGTGATTAGTTCATTGGCGTTGCGTTTGTCCCTTTGGTGTCCAGACCTCGCCTTGTTCCCAACTCCCCGGTGCCCAACTCCCCCCGGTGTGTTTAATTAGGGAGGCGTGGAGGGGGAAGGGGGTGGGGAGAGGCTCTAGCGTTTGATCTGGTCTTGAGAGCCGAGGTTCCCGCGGCAGAGGAAACCCAGGCCGATAAGTTGATTCATCATGGTTCCTTTCAGAAAATGTTACTAGTTCCCAGACTTGCCAGCACCTGTTCACAGAGAATATTATATTCGTTATACTTGTGTCAACTAGAAGTATAGTTTTAAAAAAAAAGAAAGAAAGAAAACAAAACACGAATACTTTGATTAGTATGTAATTCCTTCGGAGGGGTATGTACCATTTCATTTTCTTCTGTTTCCCAAAGCTTTACCCGCATGGTTTATGAGCTTCTTCAAAGAAGACTTGGGCTTCCTACACAATCTATAAGGTACTGAGAAAAAAAAAAATCCGATCCCTTTAAAGTCAAAGCCTGTGTGTCAGAATTCAGCAGGTTCACTTCTTTAAAGAAGCTCAAAGGGAATCGTTTAGGAAGTGGCCAGTATGGGGGTGGGGGGGGACAGCTTTGAATCTTCTTGCTTACGCACCTCAACACGGGGTTTTCCGCAGGGGTGGGGCACTGTAAAATGCCTTTTAAGGGAGTAAGGCTTCTTGGGAACCTATATTCTAATAGTGTTGTCTTCACTGAAAAATGAATTGCATTTTCTTGGGCTCTTTGGGGATCGTTGTTCTAATGGAGAAAGAAGCAGCCTTGCCGATGTAATTGGGGAAGACAGCTTTATGAATGAAGCAGTTTCCCCTCTTAAACATAGACTTATTTTGGCACAAAATGGTTAACACACACACACACACACACACACACACACACACACACACACACCCTCCCACCCACCACCACCACCACCACCACCACCACCACCACCACCACCACCACCACCACCACCACCACCAAGCAAAGTGAAAGGACTTGTATTTCAGCTTTGAATTCTTGTCTGGATATATTGGGAATATTCCCAGTGGATGAGGTTCCATGCATTTAACGTATCTCGCTTCTCTCACCCCAACTTTTTACTCATACTCTGTCTTAGCATTACCATGAATTAAGAGCCCCTGCACCTATAGCAAGAACTGTGAGATCCTCTGAGTATTTGGTTGATGAGATAAGTAGACTCATTTAGTGTGGGTACACTTGTTTCTTTTCAACAACCCAGGTGGAATCTTTGCAAAATCCATTGGGACAAAAATTCAGATGTTTTCTGTGATTTACAGATAGCTCTCCCCACCCTGAATGATCTGGACTCTCAGTTTCCCCATCTTTCTCCAGTCCACCTTAAAGCAAGGGTGTTAAAGCTTTAGGGACCCTCGGAGGGCTTTGCTTTGAGGGTTTTATTTGAGGGAAAGGAAAATCTCACAGTGAGTTTTAGGTCACTGGAGGTTGTAAGCAACAATTGAGGTCAGGCAACATCCCATCTTCTAGCTCTAGCTGCTTCCGAGGCCTGTGGGTTTTCAGGACACAGCCCTAGCCAAGCTGAAAGGAGTACAAAGGGCAGAAAACAGACGTTGTGTGAACCATAGACTCTCATCTTTCCTCAGTTTAGAAACCCGCCCCTTTTGTCCGAGGGCCTGACGCTTGCATTAGTTGAATTCTGATTGCACAAGGCCAGCAGAAAACACACTGAAAAACATCATCTCCTTTCCTTGCAGGGCAACGCGCCCCACGCGTGTGACATCGAGAGACGCGATGGATGCGCCTTGCTCTTACTGTGCAGGTCCTGGGAACATGGGGGCCCCTGGAGCCCAGTGGTGTTGAGGACATAGAATCAGCAGCTGCTGGGGTCGCGAGGCGCACGGGCCCTTCCTGCTCTCGGTCTCACCCTAAGGGCTAAGGCCACCGAGAAAGGCCAGTTCCCGAGTAGGTAAAGGGGCGGTGCCCCACTGGCTGCTGGCGGGGAGGGGTCCCAGAGCTCTGTAAAGTCCTTTAGGCCGCTAGCAGTCAGAGACATTGTGGCCTGGAAAAGTCCATGGAATTTGAAACTTCCACGTGTCCTTTCTGCCAGGAAGGAAATTGTCTCTACCCTCACTCTCTTGAAGTGTAGGCATGAAATAAGGTAGGCTCTCTTAGGCGCCCAGCTCTCCGTGTGAGCAGAGCGGGAAGGTGCAGTTAGATAAACTCGGCTGGCCCTCCCCACTAACCCCACCCCGCCTCCGGAGGTGAGTCCTCAGTTTCTGCTTTTTCCTTTCTTCCTTTTTTTCACACCGGACCTCCAACCCCTTGCTTTCCTTAGCCAAGTCAGCTACGTTTATCTGATAATTGAGTTATTAAAAGATTTGGTTTCCTTGGGTTTATAAATCAATAAACAGTAGGATTAACACAAGAGTTTGCCTTTTAAGTCAAGGAAAACGTTTAAGACCAGACCCTTTGAGTTTTGTTTTCAAACCAAACAGGTGACTTGCAGTCCCCTCCTCTCCCCTGCACTCTGTAAGTTTTATGCCCTACTAAGTCCTGGGGTTCCAAACCAAAATAGCTAAAGACGGTAGAGTAAGCCTGCAGCGGAGTTCCCTGGAGATTCTTCCAGGCCCTGCTTAGCGAATCCTGCCTTCTCCTACTTGCATTCTGTGTTTCATGGAGTTTGTTTCCAGGTGAGGATTCCATCTCCAGGGACCGTTAACTTCCACCCCCAACTAGGAAATAATTTTCTTCTCTCTCTTACCCCCGACGTATCTTGCATTTTCTTCCATCTACTCTACCTCCTCACTCCTAGCTTTCTCCACCCCCCCCCATATAAAGAGCCCAAGAGGCTTTCAAAGATCCCATGTTTGTTTTCATTGGCCAAGGAAACCACTTTCTCTTAAGCAATTATTTCATACCCTATGAAAACTTTGGTCGAATGGGAAACCCCAAACCCCTAACTCATCTACATACTTCTTCCTTGGGTAAAAGACTCATCCCTAGTTAGAGTTGAGTCATTTGATATCCTGTCCTTGCAATACTTTATGTGGAAAGGAAATGATGACCTTAAACCATTCAACACTGCCTCAAGAGCTCCCACAGCGTTTCCCTCTTTTGCTGAAGTATATTAAATTATTGGTGAAAGAAAAGAGAAGTATTGAAATTCATTCATTTTTTTAAGGAAAAAAAAACGGAGTGAACACCATTTCTTCTTTAAATGTCAAAATTGATTCCCCTTTTGAGTTGGTCTCTAATTCACTAACATTATTTTTACCACCCAGTCAAGAAATACCAACGGCCTCTTCTTGAGAGCACTCTGGAGGGTATCCGTGTTAAGTTTGTATATATTTATTTATGCTTAATTTAATGGGAATGTGTAAATATGATGAACAAGTAGTTTGGGATTATTTATCTGTGAATCTATACCTCTGTGAATGGGTGGTTAAAAAGAAAAACCGCTTGACCTTAGGTAGACTCCTATCTGAATTTTTCTGTTCTTTATAGACAAGCTGTTATGGTATTGGGTAGAAATTGGTTTATTGTCCAGTGTTAATCTGATTTACATAAATAAAAAGATTGTTGTGTTTTTGTTGTGTTCTCATCTTCAGTTTCTTAAACATGGATATTGTTTCATTCTACAGACAGAAAAGAGATAGAGCAAAAAGCTTTCTTCCTGTTGTCCTCCCCCACTGAAGTACATACAGTGTTTTTGTTACAACAGAAATACAATAAATTATGCTTATCAGAAAAAATGAACACTTTTGTTTCCAGTAGGAGGTGCTTTACTTTTAAATTTCCAAATGGATACTAGTCCCAATCATATTTGTAATAAAAGTTCATGTTAACTACATCTTATTGTTTATTTTACCCTTAAAAGAGAAGGAGTGTTATATTTACTCTCTGGGTCTCTAAAAGATTGTGAGTCCAGGCCAAAGACGCTACAGTGGGAAGCTGAATGGGCTAGATGTTCCCAGGTGGTGCTGATGCACACTGTAAAACTGGGTGCTGGCTCCTGCACTTGGAGACCTGGGCTCTGAAGGGGTTGAGTGGTCAATTTCAGGATGGAAGCCCTTCCTCACTTTATCAGTATAAGGGCTTCTGCAAATAAATGATGAAAAAGCTCGCTTGGCTTCGAAGACTTGGAGTTGTACATGGCTTAGGAGGCTGTTTCTTATCTTGGGTTCTGAGGCTGCCTGGAAGCAGCCAGCTTTTCTCACGTGGGTTAATGGACTTTGGCTTAGCCCCATAAGCTTCAGCGACTAAACATCTCAATCTGTATTTTGTCCCAAGGTGGGGGGGGGGGGGGGTATGTTCCTGGAGGCCAGGAAAGCAAAGTCATTCGAGATATTCTACAGTTTGCACAAGTCACTGCCTCTTTTGACATCGCAGGCTTTATCTGTCCTTTCCTACACTGTTATTGTCTAACTTAACCATAAAAGCAGAAACAGCAGCCAATGCATACATCCAGAAATGGTACATCCTGAGCTCAGATTACATAAGAGTGTTTAACAGATAGTTGGTGTTTCAATAATAAATAGTGTGCCTTTCGTTAAGTTTTCCAGTTTCTGAACCAGTCTTGTACGTTTGGATTTCCCTGTAGAGAAAAACAGAATAGACGGTACAATCTGTTCTATGGGAGGCTTTCTAATTCTTGTAGTATTTATTAATTTAAAGGGAGGAGGGTCTTCATGGCTACAACTGTAAACAATGGACTAAAAAAAGAAATAAAAGGAGAAGGGAAGAGGGAAGAAGTAAGGATGAGAACAAAGCAAAACAAAACAGGAATGCTACAGGAAGTGTCATTATGAGTGTGTGTGATCTATAAAGATTGGAAAAAAAAACTTGTGACTGTGCCTTAATCTCCTGGTCAGTTGTGTTAACACTAAATTTCCTTTTCATTTGCTGTACAGAGGGTGGGGTTGGCTAGCACTGGGCTTATATAAAGAGAGTTGTGGGCAATTTTCATACCCTATGACAAGTTTTCCTACAGCAGGTGAACACCAGCCCTGCCTGGATAAACAGACAACTAATCTATTATCGCACAGGTAAACTCTGGACCATCATGATTCTCCAATCACTTTTTGGTAAGAAGTCAATGACCTCTATAAGCAAAACTCCAGATCTATAGAGGCCATAACTGGGGAGAAAGACATGGAGGGAGGAAGGGAGGGAGGGAGGGAGAGAGGGAGGGAGGGAGGGAGGCAGAGAGGGGCGGATGGGCGGTTGGAAGCTGAAACCATCACTGTGGTCCAAGACCATAGAGGAAGTAAGGAAAAGAGCTGTAGCTAGAGCTCTTACAACTTTGACCGACACTGCAAGTGAATCTTAAGTGGCACCAGAGGTGGAGTGAGTCACTGCTTCTCCCCTCTGCCTGGAGCTCATCAGAGCAGTCACAAAACTTCCATCCCCACCCGGAAACCCACCACCAGCTTAAGGTCCTGATTAAGGTAGAAGCTTAAGGTAGAAGTTTAGAAATTCGAGATGCTTTTCCTTTCTTTATTTGAAAACAACTGATGCTGAGTCCCTCTGTAGAACCACCAGGCCAGTTGATAGCCCTTGTGGGTCCTCTTCTTTCCAGAAAGCCCATACAGCTCCCAGACTCCCTAGCTGCCTTTTTGGGCAATGGCTGACTGTCTTGTTGAAGACTCAGAAATTAAACGTGCAGCTCACAAGTCCATTAATTTTAGCTTCCCATTAATCTATTTATAACCGAGCCAGCGGAGCTCTATAAATACGGTCCTATAAAATTGAAGTCTTTCCCATAAATCTTCCAAGTTGTTTATTTACATGTATTTCCTGGCCCTTTAATGATCCCCCTGTAAACTCGGGCAAGACTCTCGCCGACCCCACCCAGAATGGTGTGTGTACTCTCTTCCCTCTCCTCTCT